TTTGGGGTATATTCCCAGTAGTGGAATTGCTGGGTCAAATGGTATCTCTATTTGCAACTTTTTGAGAAAGCGCCATACTGCCTTCCACAGTGGTTGTGCCATTTTACACTCCCACCAACAGTGAATAAGGGTTCCAGTCTCTCCACAACCTCACCAACATTTGTTGCTTGCTGTTCTGTTAAATTTTGCTATTTTGACTGGGGTGAGATGATATCTCATAGTTGTTTTGCAGAGTTTATTCTTGAACTCCTGTGTCATATTCTTTTTGCAGTGAACAGAAAAACAACTCAGCCTCAAGGCCGACAATACATTTGTTTTGATATCCCCACCACCTGCAAGATTGCTTGCTTTATTATCAGCAGCAAGCAATGCCATCTGAACAGAGTCATTAGGGAAGGACATACCATTCTGTACATCCTTTCTTGGTCTTGGGGTTCAAGGAACAGTTAAACTTGTTTTTGCTCCTATTCAAACATCTGCACATTTGAACCTGGCACAAAATGGCTACTTGCATAAAATTGCTGCAGTATGGCTTACTTTTTAACATCCTACTTCCTTGAGTTGTTTTCTTTTCTTTTCTTTCTTTCTTTTTTTTGAGTTGTTTTCTATCAAGCAGATACTATATAGCCACGTTAGTCTTGCTGGTCTTTTAGTATAGGGCTAATATTGCTTTACAAGTTAGCCAGGCCCCAACAAAAGACAAAGAAAGAATACTAAAAATAGGATTGGAATAATGAAGTTACCTACAAAGGAGAACTAGTAAGACTAGAGACCAATTTCTCAGCAGGCAAGAAGGCAGTAGGATGATATACATAAATGTTAGAAAGAAAAAAAAATTGCCAACCAAGAATATCATAGTCAGGAAAATGTTATCTCAAATAACAGTGAATTTAATCACAAACTAAAGGGATTTGTGAAAGCTACATCAACTCTACAAAAACAAACAAAAAACCTCAACCAAAAATCTAAAAGTCATTTTTTGGACCCAGAGCCAACAATGACATATAACAAACCAAAATTACATGTATAACAACATCATTCAGCTGAACCAGACATTTAAATATGCAAAATATAATAATCACGTTGTTGTTGCTGTTGTTAAGTGCCATTAAAGCAACTTCACCTCATCGTGACGCTATAAATATACAAGACTAAACCATAAACAAGGGCAGCTTTAAAGCAGAAAAAGAGGAAGTAAGTGTAGTTACACAACTTAAATGTAGATGTGGAGGTCAGGGAGGAACCAGGTGTGAGCAGGCTAAAGAGGAAGACCCAGCAGAAGACAATGTGGCTGCCAAGGTGTTTGATTCCATCGACAAGTTTGGCTTGGCTTTAGCGATTGCAGGAGGAATGGTGAATTCTACCTGTACAATGTGGATGCGGGGCACAGAGCTGTCATCTTTGACCAGTTCTGTGGAGTCCAGGACATTGTGGTTGGGAAGGGACTCACTTTCTCATCCCTTCAGTACAGGAACCAATTATCTTTGACTGCCACTCTCAACTACGTAGCTTACCAGTAATTGCTGGTAGCAAAAATTTACAGAATGTCACTATTACACTGTGAATCCCCTTTCAGCTTGTTGCTAGCCACCTGCCTCGAATCTACAGGAACACTGGGAAGGATTATGATGAGTGTGTGCTGCTGTCCATCATGACAGAGATTCTCAAGTTGGTGCTGGCTCACTTTGATGCTGAAGAACTCATCTCACAGTGAGAGCTGGTCTCCAGTTAGGTGAGCGATAACCTCACAAAGCAAGTGGCCACCTTTGGGCTCATCCTGGATGATGTATCCTTGATGCATCTGACCTTTGGGAAGAAGTTCACATAAGCAGTAGAAGGCAAACAGGTGGCTCAGCAGGAAGCAGAGAGGGCCAGACTTGTGGTGAAAAAGGCCAAGCAGCAGAAGGCCACCATCATTTCCGCTGAGGATGACTCCAAGGCTAATGGCCAACCCACTGGCCATTGCAGGTGATGTGGCTTGATGGAGCTGCCAAGATAGAGGCTGCAGAGGACATTGCCTACAGCTCTCCCTCTCTCCATGCCACACCAGCAGTTAGTGCTGCTGCGACTTCCCCAGTGAGGCCTCACACACGCTTGGTTCTTACCACAGCCTTTCTTTTGCTCCAGCCCAAAAATCACTGTGAAATTTAATGATTGGCTTATATCATGTTGGAAAGAAATTAACTTCAGATCTTAAATTGTTCTAACACAAAGCAAAACCACTTTTAAATGTAGAGGAACATAAGGAGATTTCAAGATAAACAAAAATGTTTTATACTTGGGAATAAATTGTAACTTAGAGGATTGTTGTTGTTACATGCCATGGAGTTGATTACAATTCACAGCAACCTCATGGACAACAGGTTCATGAACCCCACCTATCCTGTGCCTTCCTGTTCATGTCTGATTTACTTGAGCTGATTGCTGTAGTCACTAGGTCAATTCATGTCATTGAGTGTCTTCCTCTCTTTGACTGATCCTCCACCTTTCAATGATGGTCTTCTCCAAGGACTGGACTCTCCTAACAACATGCCAAATATAAGTGACAAAGTTTCACCATCCTTGCTTCCAAGTAGCACCCTGACAGCACCTTCCCCAAGACATATTTGTTTGTTGTCTTTGCAGTCCATGGGGTATTTAATACTCTTTTCCAACACCACAATTCAAAGGCATCAATTCTTCTTCTGTCATCCTTATTCATTGTTTAATTTTCAGATGCATAACAAGCAATTTAAAAGACTATAGCTTGAATCATGCTCTGGTGGCCTCATTTTAAGAAACTGCGCAGCAATCCTTAAGGCACGTGGTTCAAATGCACCAGCTGGTCTGTGGGAGAAGTGAGGGCCATCTCCTCCCTTCAATTAACTGTCTCTGAACACCCACTGGAGGGTCAGCTATTGTTCACTTCTGACTCAATGGCACACAATAACAACAACTAGGCTTGAACCAGATGTACCTTAGTCTTGACACGGATATCGTTGCTCCGTAACACCACAGAGAGGTCCTTGTTAGCAGATTTATAAAATACAATTATGTCTTTTGATATCTTTCTTTTTTTCTGAGAGCGATAACTCAATTATTTTGAACTTGACTTCATCATTTGCACTTTAGGCTCCAACATTGCTAGGAAGTGCCACCTCCCATCTGAGAAGAGTCATGCCCATACGCATGTAGGAGGTAAACTAGTCAGAGATCTTCATAATAATGAGGGTTGCTCACTCATCACATGAGGAAACTACAAGAAGGGCTCGGTAACTGCACGGTGAGTGTGTGAGATGGGCAAAGTTCCTTTCACTGTGGCGGAATGCCTAAGTCTCCAGATTCCTGGGCTGGAACATGGTACCAGATAAGTAAGGTCAACAAAACAGTGAGCAGGCTTCACTTTCTATAGGACTGTATGGCATCAATCACCATGTGAAGGGGTTCCAGGAGGCGGGCAGTGCCCAGGGTCCATGTAGTTCAGAAGCTCGATGCTCTTGCCATGGCTCTGGCTCTGGAAGCTTTGGCCTCATCCACTAGTTCATCTAGGAAACGTTTCTGTGAAACTGAGTAGAAAGTGTAACCATAAATAGAAAGCTTTAGGGCTCCGATGCCCAGGTCTGTCACTGTGTTCTGGGTCCGCTGCTGTGGCAGCGTCTTCTGCCACTGGGGCAGTTGCACCTGCTGCATGAATTGCAGCTCCATGGGAGTCAATTTTTCCCGAGTTGGGTAGATGAGCTGAGCCACTGGGCCCTTTCCACTCTTAGCATTTAGAGGGTCTCCTGCTCCGGACACTGCTATGTTGCTGCTACCGTCTTTTGATTTCTTCATTGCTGACCCTAAGGGTGTTGACTGTGGATCCTAGAAAGATGAAATCATTGACAATTTCAATGTTCTCTCTATTATAATGCTGCCTATTGGCCCAGTGGTGAGAATTTTTGTCTTTTTGATGTGGAGATGTAATCCTTATTGAAAGCTTTGATCTTCTGCAGTAAGCATTTCTAGTTCTCTTTGCTTTTGGCAAGTGAGGCTGTTTTATCTGCATAATGCAGATTGCTAATGAATCTTCTTCCAATCCAGATGCCACACTCTTAAAAAAGTTCAGCCTCTAGAATTATTTGTTCAGTATACAGGTTGGTTATGTGTGGAGAAAAGATACAGCTCTGCTACACACTTTTCTTTTGTTTGAAACATTAAAATGCCATAACCCTTTTTTATTATGAAGTAAACCCTACTACACCTAGTGGACTTATGGTGATTTCTGGTGGTAGGTATGGGCCTCAGGACCTCTAAACTTCTTGTATTTGCAGCACTGAGGGTCAGCTACCATTAGGGTTATGATCATACTGGTTGAAGGTGTATTTGATCTCCTTCTTGGAGGCCTCATATACATATTTCTGATAACAGACAACCAACGCTCTGGAGATAGATTGCGTAAGTCTGGCGAATGTGACTACCACCCTTCACACAGACTCAGATGTCCACATCAGAGAACCGTTCTTTGCCCAGGAGCAGAATGGGCTCAAGTAGCTTGCACTGCAGCATGCGGGACTCAATCTTCTCCAGAGGCTGGCCTTTCACTGCCACACTGGCTGTCTTTATGCATCCAAAGACTTGCAGAGGACTTTTGGATAGCATGGCTGATAACTAGCAAGAGAATGTGGGCACAGTTCTCTTGATTTTAAACTACGCAATGTTTCTTGGTTTTGTCTGGACAATAGCTTCTTGGCCCAAGTATAGTTTCACATGAACACAAATAAGTGTTCTGGGATTTCCATTCTCCTCAATGTTAGCCATAATTTATTATGATTCACATAGTCAGATGTGTGGAAATGACTAAGCCTGTGCATAGTCACTAAAACACAAATAAACATCTTCTGGTATTTTCTTTTTTCAGCCAAGATCTATCTGATATTCCTGGTGTTGTCAGCTCTTTTAAATTCAGCTTGAATTTCTGTCAGTCTCTGTCAATGTACTGTTCCAGTCATTTTTGGATTATCTTCAGCAAGAATTTATTTGCATGTGATATTACTGATACTGTTTGAAGATTTCTGCATTCTGTTGGATCACCTTTTTTGAGAGTGGAAACAAATATGGATCTCTTTCAATCAGTTGGCCAGGTAGCTGTCTTTGAAATTTTTT